ATTTACACTTCAAAAATGACTGGAAAGTAAATAATTTATTTAACCAAAGACCATCTATGCATAAACAACTAAAGATCTGGGAGGTACAGCTTTGCAAAAGTAAAAATGTCATATGGGGGGAGGGGGGGTTAAAACATTGCTTCAAACACTGGTAAATATTTTGGCCACTTAAAAAATTCTGGTCAATACTCTGGCCATTAAGAAAATAGTGGCCATTATAATGGCCAGAAGTGACTTTTTAAAGGGGTCTGAGGGGTGTAAAAACAGTGTTAAAGTGAAATGAAGAATTATTATAACCTTCTCACTAACCTAAAAGCACAAATAAATATTCAAAAGTTTTGAAAATTAAAACTTTCCGAAACGCGACGGAATTTCCGAAAGTAATCCGGACGCTGTTTTTAATATTTTATATGTACCGTTAAAGTCCTAATATAAACCGCATACGTAATAGTAACCGCACCCCCAATTCCGGCTTCGGGGTTAAAGAGTTCTTAACAAAAATTGAAAACTTGAAAAGTACCTATTACTAACCGCACCCCCAATTCAACAAGACCGTGACTGACTTCATTGTTTCAACCAGCTGTTCCAAAACGGCATTGTTCCTAATCCTATTCATTTGTTTCGGCAACATGCCTAAAAATATTCACACCTATTTATTGTTCAGCGGTGATAAGATGTCAGACAGGCAATGAAACTGCTTTTGTTCTGGCGGCGACCTCTGTCAATACTCTTTCTGAATACGTCTGTGTTTCGTAAGTTTTAGACAATAAGCTTTTATCACCGTAAAAGTGTTGAATTATTCTTTAATGCTCAGTTTATCTTTCGAAAACAAATAATTTCTTGATTTAAAAAAAAAATCATGCCGCTTTCCCATGGAAATCAAAGGCAAAAGATCGCACTACATTATCGGTAAATCTCTTCCGTGTTGCGTTCACCATGAGGTCGCTGAACTGTCATTAACATATTTAAATGAGCTATGTAATTTAGACACGTGGGCACCAT